TGGCGCAGGCCTCGCTGCCTGGCTGTCCTTGTGCCAGTGACAGTACACACGCCTGCTCGCTGGGGTGTGTGATTAATGAGTGTATGTGCGTAGAGACACACCTCACACATCCACAGCCCCCATGAAACCCTAAAAACTCCATGTCCCATGGAAGGTGAGGGCACCCTGTCCAACAGGGAAGATGCGGCCTTTCCCCTTGTGATGCTCACTGTCCCTGGGGTGCACAGTGCCCACTGGACACACTGGGTACAGCCCTCTGTGGCACACACCTGTGCAGCGACACGCTGTGGGCCAGCCTGGTGAGGAGGGGAGGGACGTGTGGAGTGCCAGGTGGCCCCACAGACAGCTGTTCCCTGGTCACAGCAGCCTTCTCGTTCCCCTGAATATCTGCTTTAAAGTCCTCTGTGGCTGGGTCTTGGCCACCCAAACAAACGAGCCCATTCTTCTCTTCACGAGGACTGAAAGTCCATCATTCTGCTAAGTCACAGGGCCAGGGATGGTCCTGCAACAAGCCACACCCAGCCACTCGTGCCCAGTGCCAGTCTTGGTGCCTGGACCAGACCAGGGTCTGGATGCGGTGAGGGAGGCCGGTCCATTACCTGGACACCAAGCTCTTCCCAGGGCCACTGCATCCCAGGGTAGGGTCAGATCTCTGGGTGTTCGGCTGGGGTCATCTGGAGGACAGGCCTTAGGGCATGAGGTCTGCACAGCTCAGGGTCAGCCCTGCCTACCCAGCAGTCTGTCAAGACTGTGACCCCCTCTCCTGATATGCGCCCTGGCCTGTCGCAGGTGTTGTGGCAGGCTTCCCCTCCCACTCTGTCCTGGCCTAAGGCCACCTCACTGCAAGCCTCACCACAGACAACCCAAGCCAACCCTGCCTCCCATGGCAGGGCATCTCACACGGACTCTGTCTGAAGGTGAGGCCTCACGGCACGTACCACTCCCACACACCAGGACAGAAGACCCTGAGACCACCAATGTCCCTCCTTGCTACAGGTCAGAAGTGGGCACAAGACACATAGACGGACACCGAACACCTGTGACAGTCCCAGGGAGACCTCGCCCTGGCCACTCAAGCACAGCTCCCGTTTAACCTGGGCTGCAGGCTGTGATGCAGGCCGCGGCCTCTCCACCCACCACCCAGGTGTCCGCTCCTCCTGCCCTCAGTCCTGAGCCAGGTCCACTGTGTACAGCACCCCTGCTCTGGGAAAGTGACCAGGGCTGCAGAGGCCTCCCAGAGCCCGAGCCCATGGCTCTGCCTAGGTGAGTCTTCCAAAACGTGACCACTACCTTCAGGAGTTTTCAAAACAGCTAACTTTCTGGAGTATTTTCCTAGGTGAAAACTCACAAATCAAGCTCTCTTCAGAAAATTCCTTCATTGCCTGTATCACTCCTCTTCTGTACAAAGCCAGAGTTTTAGGAAACAAGAAGGCTGTGCTTGCCCAAGAATGCAGAACAACACACCGGAGAGCCATGCGTGAGATTCTATACAAGACTCCACAGTGACACTCTGCAACAATCAGAGGGAGAGGAGGACTCAGCTCAGCGTGCTGTGTCTCCCCACTCTCCAGAGTCCCCTTTCCTGCCAACAGAAGCAGGGTCCCAGGACAGTCCAGATGTGGGACCAAGTCCTGGCTGCCTGTGCCCAGCACCGAGCATCCCAAACACTAGAGCTAGAATTGGCCTATGGACCTTCAATGGTGTAACAGCAACGCACCCTTGTGAACATTCGCAAAATGAAAGAATTCATGAAGAAACCGACCATGCTGCCATTTCAGAGGTGACTCAACCCCATGATGTTCTGAGTGGTCTCCCTGCCTGCTGCTGTAAATGCAGGTGAGCTCTTACTGGCAACCGATCAGGTGAGCTTAGCACAGGGAACTAAGCCAAAGCCATGTCAGTCTTCCACGACTGGGGCTGCATTTCAACACATGCTCCATCAACACTGGTTGCAAAGCACTTGTGTTCCACAGTCAGTCTGTGATTACAGACACTTCCTGAGTGTGACAACCTGTGAGCAACTTGCTGCTGCCTGGCCGACAGCCTGCCAGAGAGGACCCTGGATTCCCTAGGTGTTTCATTGCAGACTCACCAGGGCAATGAGGTCATTGGGGCTGTGGCAGTGCACACAGCCATGAGCATCAGAACGACAGTCCAGGCAGCAGAGGAAGACGGTACACGGGGGAGGAGGGACCCAGAGAAGGCGGGTGTGCAGCAGCTGCATCCAGGGACAGTCTTCACACCAACTCGAGACCAAGCCCTCAGCCCACAAAAGGACAGATCTGAACCTCAGCACAAGTGTTTCCTGGTTTCTTCGAGGTTTTATTGGCACTTAGACCCCCAGGCTCAGCTCCAGCTCTCCTGGGAAACTGCAATCAGGCCCCTGTCTGACCTCAGCCCTCCCAGGACCCTGGAGAGGCAGCTGTGGTGGTGGCGCTCAGAAACTGCTCGAGAGGCTCCCAGGGTCCCTTGCGGCTGACACAAGAGCAGTGTCTGGAGCCTACACACCCCATGTCAGACCCACCTGTGCCCTGTTCTTCTGCACGTGCATCTCTCTCACTGTGTGTGCAAGCGGCAGGAGGAGGAGGAGGAGGAGCAGGACCTTTTGCCTCTGCTGGAGGCAGGACTGTGAGCCAGCATCAGAGCCCTGCCACACACTGTCTGGAATCTGCCCAGGCCTCAGACGTCCTGACCTGCCCCAGCTTGGCTCAGGCCCTGTGCCTGCCAGATCACAGGATGTTGTGTCAGAGTGGCCACTCCTGGCTGGGGCCACCATCCTACCTGGCCACACGCCGCACCATGACTGAGCTGTGCCTAACTGTGCCCCTCTCCTCTGGGGCAGCATCGTGGCTGCGGGGGCCTTGTGGACATGCAAGCATAGCGGTCTGACTTGAGCAAATCCAAGACACACTGGACAAGCACAACAGGGGAGTGGGACGGGTGACATGTCCCTCCGTCTGGGCTGGACTGAATATGGTCACACAGGGCTGCTAAAGAAGGGTTCTCACCCAAGGTGCACTCTGAAACCCACCCTGTGGGGCTGTGTGCCAGCAGCCATCTCCACAGCTCCAAGGTGAGGACAGAGGCCGGCGTGACGCTGCCATCAAGAGACTGGGGGGCGGGGATTCAGCTCAGTGGTTCCGCCGCCTGCCTCGCAAGTGCAAGGAGCCAAGTTCGATGCCCGGTACCAAGAAAAGGAAAAGAGACTGGGACCTGACAGAAAACGCAACCCTGCAACTCAAGATTTGTCTGACTGCAGTGCTCAGGAATGGGATTTGATCATTTATTTTCTTTTTACTTTTTCTTTTTTTTTGGTACCGGGGATCGAACTTGGGTCCTTGCACTTGCACAGCAGGCAGTGAAACCACTGAGCTAAATCCCTGGCCCTTATTTGATCATTTAAAGAAACTATCCAAGTTCCTCTGAGAGGTTTTCTGGGGACACATACAGAAAGTTCACTCAAGGAACTGACTTTCACAGTCTGGGAACATCAATATAGCACAGCCAAATGACACCAGAGTGTGCTGGTGCTAAGCACTAAGCGGGAGGCACTTAGTGGGGCTGGTCCAGGTAAGGGTCATTCGTGTCTGAGCATGGCAGCTGGCCACTCAGGGTTGGGCCAGCACACAGCCAGCTGACGACTGGCTCTGCTCCTGCTGAGGGAGCCGCCTCCCTCCTCCCTCATCAGCACTCAGCCCCCAACATAATTAGAAGAAGCCCCAAGCACATACTCAGATTCCAGGAACCATCTCAAGTAATTAAAGAGACAAAAGAACAGCAATCAGCAAGAACCAGAAGTGCAATTCAGTGGTGCACACCGCAGCCAGTTCTTCACATTCTCAGGTTGCCCCCGTGGGTACAACTGAGCTCAGATAAAAGCATTTGGGGAAAATTAAACTGATACTGTACAAACTTTCCTCCTTGTTATTCCCTAAATGATACAGTGTAACAACTATTTGAATACTGGAGAAGATTTTTAAAGTCTGCAGGAGGAAGAGATCTGAAGGTTTTGGTAACTGCCGGGGGTTCTGAAAACATGCCACACGTCTGTAAAGAAAGCAACTGTGACTTCTTGATCCAGTCTCCAGTTGATGGGCACTGGGGCTGTTTCCAAGCTTCAGCTGTTACAAACTGTGCCGCTATAAACATGGGTGCACATATATTGCTGTGGTATGATTCTTTTAATTCTTTGGGGAGGATACTCAGTAGGGGGAATAGCTGGGTCAAATGGGACCTCTAGTCCTAGTTTTTTGAGGAATCCCCACAATGATTTCCGCAAAAGGAAAAAAACAGAAACAAAGTCTTTATAAATAAGGAGGGGTGGAGGGATTGAAGGGAAGGCAGGGGAATGGGGAAATAATAGGAACCAAGATACGTCATGTAAAGGTACAAGTTCCCAATGATGAACGTCATCATGTTGTATACCTGAAATGTACCAACAAACTTAGTTAAAAAAAAAAAAAAGAAAAAAAGAAAGCCACTGCAGCCGACAGTGGACCCAGTGCCCATCCTTCCCATTCTCCTTAGCAGAGCTTTGTCTACCCAATCCTTCACATCAGCACCAGTGTGGTCTCACAATACTATCACAAAACTCTCCAGGCGATGCTAAGTATCTACCCAACACCCTTTCCCCCTGGTCTTAACACAGAACTTTGGTCTTGCTCAGGACAGTAATGTGTCCAGTTGCAGCATTCACTTCCCAGCCTGCACTGCAGAGAGGGAAGATCAGGTGACACCACTCCGGCCAATTAGAAGTAAAGGATGTCACAGGGTGGCTTCTGGGAAAGCCTTAAAGGGGCAGAACCAGCCAGTATCTGCTTTTGGCCCTGGTTCTTGCTCTTCTTCCTTGCTGAAAGGTAGAATCGATGCCAGGGATGGGTAGCCTAATGGCCAAAGGGATGCCCTTCCACAGGCACTTCCCCCCTGGACCTCCAACGTGTGAGGGAATGTTGCAGCCAGATGACGCAGGTCAGGTCAGGACGCACGCCGTGAGTACTCACAGTCTGCCGTGTACTCCACCTGGGAGGGCTGTGTGGGCGTGCCATCTGTGGTGTGTGGGGTGGGGGCAGAGCTGTCAGCTTGCGCTTTCCGCACCAGGGCTGCTAAGGGGTGGTCTGGGTCCACCACCTTCAAGGGCTAGGACAGAAAAGACGCAGGGCCTTAGCACCTTCTGTGTCTGAACACGTGAAACCATTCTGCTGCAGACTCGACTCAACTGTCCAGTGCAGTGTACACGTGCTAGGAAAACCTCAACCGAACAAGCACACGCATGCACACACACGCGCGCACACACACAGGCAGTGCTAAGGAGGAGTCAGCTACAGCAGAGCATGGAGGAAGGGATCACACGGACATGTGTCTCGGACAGAGTGGCCAGCCGGGCAACTTAGCAACCTAGACTGTGCTTCAAGAATAAGAAGTAAAAGGAGGGCTGGGGCGGAGACCCATGTAAACGCCCAGTAGAGGAATAATGAGCTCAGGGACTGGCCCAGAACTACAGCCTGCACACGGCACTATTCTGCAGGGATGCCTGCTCGGCAGCTGCCTGTTCAAGCCTGGACCGATGCCCACCCTTGCTGCTGACTCTGAAGCCAGGGACGAGGGTCCTGGAACCACTTTATTCTGCCTCTGAGACTCGGCCACCCTTTACGTCCTGGATGTGCCACCTTCGGTCAGTCACACATCCGGACTGTCATCCTCTCCTCATTCCTGGAATAAGCCTCTCCCACAGAGCCACTGCCTCTGTCACTCAGGATGGCAGCACATACGTGGAGTCCTGCCTCATGTGGGCAAGTGCTCCAGCTGGCCCAGAGGAGCCCAGGAAGCACACAGCCTCATCTCCATAACAACCGCTCAGCAAAGTAAGGAGGGAGCGTCTCGGTTAGACTGCTACCTGTCAAAATGTGAATGTCCCGGCTCACACAAAACTTGAAACTTGGTCCTTCCTTAGAGGAATTTCTGGGGTTTTTTTGGTACCAGGATTGAACTGGGGTCCTTGCGCTTGCACAGCAGGCGGCAAAACCACTGAGCTAAATCCCCGGCCCATGAATCTGTTTCTTAACACCACAAATGGCAGGCAGAGTACAGCACTTTTGCTATGAATAACACCGTGCAGCTCAATGAGAAGATAAATACCTTCATCAGCTCTTCAAGGCGGCTGCTCTTCTTGGAGGCAAAGAGAGATGGGTGCAGGTAACTCCCATCTTCCTCCTCATCTTCATCCTCATTGTCAGAGTTCGTCCCCGACTCTGAAATCAAAATCACATTTCAAGGTTTTGGCGTAACTGTACACACGAATCACCACCCTGTACTCCATACATATGTGCAATGAAAATAAGATGGAAAAACAAGTCCAAATATGCTGTGCAAAACCTTGCAGCAACCAAGGGCAGAGCTACTCATGGCCACTGTGGTGACCTGTGCACGCACTCCATGGACTACACTCCCGAGGTCACCTGGCTTGCTCAGCAGAGAGCCAGGCAGGAAGCAAGCTGGCCCTGGCCCCTCACTTCATGACTCCCTCAGCTCTGACAAGTCCAGGGTGTTGTAAGAGCTTTGACTTTCATTTATCGAAAGGCAACAATCTTACTGATTTATGGAAAGTCAAACAGCATCAATAGAAATTTAAAAAACCAAAACTACAACAAAGTTGGAGAAGATGCAGTCTGCAATGAGATGACACCACTGGGCTGGGGTGGAGCTGAGCTCAGCGGTAAGGGATTTATTTACATAACTGACTGAAACGGGGAGGACAAGAGCGCCTGGAAGACAGACAGAGGCTCATCCAGGGATGTCACTCAGAGGAGGCACTGGCCTCGACACGTAATCCAGCTGTATGACCACTTCCGTCCCTGAACACTACGGTATAAGCGCACCCACTGGCGATAACCCAACTAAGTGTGGAACTCACCATTCTCTCTATAAAATGTTAAGCAAGTCAAACCACAGAAAAGCTTTCCAACCTAGACAATTCTGTTTGGATGGGATCAAGAGTTAATTTTATTACATCTATCTCTCAAATAGATCAGCTAAGAATTTACTACAGGTGCTCCGGCCAGACTGATAGCCGAGGCTCACCGGCAGGACTTCCTGAATATCCTCAAGCCTAGATCCGCATATGCACCTCTGAGGATAGCATCTCTCCTGTCCTGGAGTGACCCTCACCCGCCACACCCCACACTGACAGGCCCCAAGCTGAACAGACAGAAGCAGGCTCACATACTTTTTTTCTCTTCGTTCTTGTTTTCTGCCAACACTGTGTATCGTCCCTCCTTCATAGCCTTCTGGATGAACTTGTAGTAGGGATTGAGGTAGTGATCGAAACGCAGGAAGTCAAACTGAGAGTTCCGGGCCTGCTTGGCTTTCAGCATTATTTCAAACTGCGCTCCCTGCTTGCACACGAAGTTGGCCGTGCGCTCGATGATGGCGTGCATCTTGGCAGTGGGTGGCTATGAGAAAACACACACCAGCGTTACTGACCTGTCCTCCTCTTACCTAACCTAAACATGGAAGCAGCCTTGGTTACACTGTCTTCCTGAGGTAAAAGAGCCAGGTCTGTGACAGGAGGACCACCTGTCTGCACCCGAATGGGGAAGAAGACATGCCCATGGGCTGGGTCACCCTCTCTGCACAGACCACAGGGGCGAGGCTTTTCTGCACCACACCAACATGCTTCTAAGGCACCTGGGTTCTGTGGTGGGCTTCAGGGCCCTGCCTTTTTGGACGATGCAGGCAAACCTTGCACATACACACGCACTTCTTCAGAGGGAGAGACAAATGTTTCAACACTCCCCCAGGATGGAAGACTCCCTCTCACCCCTTTCCTCCCTTGGCAGCCACGCAAGGTCTCCTGGTGTGCAGATCCCTCCTCCCATCCCGCCTCTGGGTGTCGGGGAAACCCCCAAGTGCATGCCAAGGCTCTTCCTCTTCTGCACCTCGCCACCCTTGCTTTCCTACCTGCCATGACATAGCTTATGGCCTGAGCTAAAACCAGAGTCCCAGATTGCAGGCAGCGGGGTGCCCTGCCCGGAGCAGGGCAGGGGTAGGGTACACGCAGGTGGCGGGCCTTCTCCTTGCCTTCCGTCCAGTAACCCAACAGCAGCCAGGCCCCGCCTTCACTTGCTGCTGAATCTCATCTACCATGTAGTGGGCTTGCCATTTCCTGCCTGAGGAGAGAACTTGCCAGACCAAAAGCCAGAAGCCACATCTCTCAAATACTTTCAGTATCAAAGAAGAGAATCACACTAGGAATCACATGCAAACAAGACTGGAATAATTCTCATTAAACATGCGCAGTTAAAATTTCAATATGTTCACTGTAGTTTCAGGGCCTCATCTTTCATAAAATACAAACAACTTATTTCAAAATTTAATTTCTGAATTAATAATGTCCTTCACATTGAAAAAGCATAAATGTCTACAATTAAAGTTATCTAGATTCCCAAATAAATTAGTATGTGCTAAAAGGCCACTGTGCACCGAAACAGGGATCTGATGCAGATTTTCATTGGCTTTAGATAAACAGGCTATTTGCCAGATCAACTTTGGGTCTAAAATATGTGAAAAGTAGGCTCACTAATGATATACTACCCTGACCACAGTGGCTGAATCTCAGTGGCCAAGGTAATTTTACAAACCAATACTGCTCTCGCACAAAAAAGCTTCTTATGAACATAGTTCAAGATCTGCTCTCAGATTAAGAGCATAGGAGATTAAGAATATCTGGCTTGAGAGGCCGGGGATGTAGCTCAGTGGCACTGTGCCTGTCTGGCAAGCACAAGATCCTGAGTTCATCCCCCATATCAAAAAAAAAAAAAAAAAATCTGGCTTGGAAAAAACCATTCTTTTTCATCTTTTTAATGCAGATTTTAGATAAATTCCTTTCTACTTGAGAACAGCAGGATCATTTCCACATACAATGGTATCTCAAGGATAGAGTCAGCAAGGGTTGGGAGGATGCACATTTGGTTCCAACAGCTGACATGTTCGACGTTTTCTTACGCACAAGCTGCAGAGCTTACTTGATAAAGGGAGCAGGCTTTCTCATTTGAACCCCACAGGGACGCCCTTGGCTAAGAAAGCCAGGGTGGATACCTGGGGGGAGGGGTCTCAAAACTGCATCCCTGTGGCTTTAATGCCGCCAAGTACTGGGGAGTGGGAGAGCAGAACCGAAGGCCAGGAAGCCCACAGAGACGGAAACTCTGGACTCAGATGGAGCAGGGGACCCATCCACTTTCACCTCAAGATGGCCAAGCACTGCAGCCAACCAGGGCAGAGCAGGTGCCCAGATGACTGGCTGGTATGTGGGGCCCCACTGGAAGGGACATCATGGGGGAGGGCACCCAGGAGTAGCTGGGCAGGCCTTCTGCAACAGAGGGGAGAAAAGTGAAGTGCCCAGGGCCGGCGGATTTAGCTCACTGGTGTCGCTGCCTGCCTTGCAAGCGCAAGGTCCTGAGTTCAATCCCTGGTACAAAAAAAAAAAGTGAAGTGCCCGATTTGCCTAACGTCAGGTCACAACCCAAATTCAAGAACAAAACCACAGAAGCAACAGCAGGAAAGCTTTCCAAAGCAAGCTTCAGAACACACTGGCATAGGACAGCAATGACACATAGGACCTGGCAGGTCACTGGGACCTGCACAGTTACAAGATGGGGCACCAGGAGAGTACGAGACAAGAGGAGCAGAGGTACAGGCATCAGCCTTGAGGGGCCCTTGCACCCCATGAGGAAAGGCAAAGCCCTCCTCAGGGGCCCCAGCTTCCTCCTCCTGGCACCCCCGTGCCATGCAGAGTGGCACCTATGCTGTGATGACAACTAGACTCACCAACTCGACATTCAGTAAGGCTGTGCCTCAGTGGCCCAAGCCCCGAGGTGGCTGCTCAGCTGGGCCCGGCCTGACCCTTTTGTGCCCGAGTCAGGGCAACTGCTCCCAACAGGTCCAAGCCTCACTGTGTCTCATCTGGAACATAGTTAATGACTGTGTCTACTTTGTCACTGTAAACACCAGGTGAGACGCCTGGGCCCAGAAGCTTTGCACAATGCCTGGCACACAGTACATGCTCAATAAACACACATTATGTTAAATCACTGAAGTGCTGCAACCAGCAGCAACTAAGCATGGGGCTGTTCCCAGGCAGTTTGCCTCAAAGTGCTAACAGGCTCACTGGGCAGCATGGCTTCTGGGCCCACAACTGACCAGTGGCTGAAGGGCTCTGGTTCCAGGCAAACAAGTTAAACCCATGCCAGAGAAAAGGCCGGAAGCATCAGGACGGGAGCAGTGCCCACGCGCAGCCTGCTCCAGACTGCCAGCAGCTCAGTGATGCCTGCACCAGCTGGCTGGGAGTGCATGGCCACCAAATAGTCTAAGAGGAACGAGACAGAGCAACAAGCCCGGGCTGCATCTCCATATTCATACTTGCACAGGCATTTAAAATGTCTTTCTCAGGCCGGGGATTTAGCTCAGTGGTGCCACCGCTGCCTGCTGTGCAAGCACAAGGTCCCAAGTTCGATGCCCAGTACCGAAAAAAACCAAAACAAGACAAAAAATAAAATGTCTTTTTCTTGAGAGTAAAGTTCCACAGAGTCAAGCTCACGTGAGGGTTTTAGCATCAAGTTCAGGAGATGGAGCGGAGGTGGTTTCAGTGGTGTCGAGTGCGCACTCAAGACCGGAACTGAGATCACAGCACACTCGGCATCAGTGCTGGGACGGGTGCTAATGGGCTCGGACAGCACATCTTCGGGCACATTCAGGCGAACAACAGCAGAACGATCAGCAGGTGATACAGGCACAGATATGAGCAGCAACACCCCAGGCCAGGCCCAAAGGACAGGCTCTGACACCACTTTGAGGAGCGTGGGCCGGGGCAGGAGTCAAAGTGCCTTGTTCTCTGCCTTTGCCACCTCACGAAAGCAGGAAAGAGGGCAAAAGCCATGAATTTACAGCAGACTGATTCTGGGGGCAGCAGTGGCCCTGGAGGAGTGCAGGAGGTGCCTGCTGTCTGCCCAGTGACTCTGCACGCCAGACATAAACCCAACCGCTCAAACCACAGCACTTCATCCAGTGAGGCAAATGTCCAAGAGAACACTTTTTGTTGAGTGTGAATACTTGGGAACCCTTCACAGGTACGCACCTACAATGGAAATATTCTAAACACCCCTAATAAGCACATAAAAACCTCATAAAAGCCTGCCATGGTGGTGCACACCTGTAATCCCAGCACTCAGGAGGCTGAGGCAGGAGGATCGCCTTACGTTGGAGGCCAGCCTGGAGTACAAAGTGAGTTCAAGGCCAGCCTAGATTGCATAGTGAGACCCTGTCTCAAACAACAAAAAATAAAACAAACACAAAACCCTGTAAAGCATAACAACAGGCAGGGTAGTTGAGACTCCAGGTCTGAGATCCTGCCTCTGGCCAATATTCTATAGTTTCAGTTTCCTCACCTGTGAAATGGGGAGAGCAATGGTACTTATCTTGTGGGGATGTTGGCATTACATGAGAAGATGCATAAATAGCATCTTACCCCAAGGCCTGGAATGTAGAAATCCCTCAATGAATGTTCAGGGGGAAAAAAAAAAACACCTCAGTTTGCTTGGCACCTGTTGTAAATGAACCTTAATTTACCAACTGAGACTGTGGGGTGAGATCACAGAGCCCCACCTCAGTGGTCCTCCTCCTGGGAAGGGCAGCTTGGACAGGGATGGGAACAAATCACAACAGGGGACGCTGCCCACAGAACTGCACCAAAAACTGCCACAACACAGCACTGAGCTGAGCCAGCACGGCATCCATGTCAGTCCACGGACCTGGGCACGGCCAGCTCTGACGCAGTCCATCCACTCCAGGTGGGGCTGGGGACTCATCCCGAGACGTTCCACACAGACCCAGCACGTCAGGTGCCTGCTCTAATTCCACCTTCCTTCCAAGGAACACAGTGGGGTGCAACCTTCTCCGCAGCAGCTCACAAACCCCCCACAGCCTGATCTACCGCAGCAGCAATGAGGATGCACAGTGCCCGAGAAGGCGCCACGTACCAGCTCCACATCTGGGGGGACGTTCAGTCCTAATGGAGCAATGAAAGGCTCTTCGTTTTCTTCCAAGTTTTCAGCCTCATTTTTTTCTGTAAAACAATTAAAAATTTCAGACTGATGACCAGGAAAGAAGGCATCGCAGATGGGCGACAACACGGGAAGCGCAGGGACAGCTCTCCCTGGCTCCTCACCTCCCATCACCACCTAGGAAAAGCACACCCCCACCCCGCTCAGTCCCACCTCAGCGGAGCAAACCCTCCCTGGTTCTCATGAGGCAGGAGGAGCGCGGTGCGGGTCAGGTCGGATATATGCTTGAGGTGCCAGGGCCACTTCCAGGGCCACAGAGGTCGGGAAGTGACGGGTGCAAGGCTCCCCAGGGCAGGATGCACCATGCCCGGCAGGGACACACCAGTGCCCTTGGCCTTCCGGCTCATGGAGTAGGGCTCAATGGGATCGTCACCCCCACACTGTTCTGAGCCTTCTCAGTGGCATGCGGTGTGACACAAGGTAACGGATTTCTACATACTGACTGTGATCATCAAAAGTAAAACATCTAGGGTCAGGGATTTAGCTCAGTGGTTTTGCCGCCTGCTGCACAAGCGCAAGGACCCGGGTTCAATCCCCAGTACCAAAAAAAAAAAAAAGTAAAACATCTAGTCAGCATCGTCAGGACTTCTCCCAAGCACCCAGCCTCTTTTTCAGAAAAAATCTGATTTACTTCGCCATTCCTATTTCTCCATTAATGAGTCATTCAATAAATATTTGTCTGCTATGTGCTAGACAAGGCACGAACTACACTTTACAACTTTGCAAATTTCAAAGTACCCAAATACATCTCAATAACCCACAATTACTAATTTAAAAGGATATAGTGAAACATACATAAAAAATCAGCACAGAACTTTAAAAAGCAACTTCTCTGGGGCACTAATATGGAACCCAGGGACTTCTCATTGAGCTACATCCCAGACCTTTTTAAAATTTTGAGACAGGGTCTCACTAAGTTGCTAAGCTGCCCAGGCTGGGCTTAAACTTGTGATCCCCTCCACCTCCTGCAGTGCTGGGATCACAGGTGTGCGCCACCATAGCTGGCAAAAAGCAACATTTTAAAGCATTTCATCATACGCTTAGGGTTTTATTCTGAAAAAGACAGCATTAAAGCAACAAACAATAAGTCTTCATTAAAATAAATGTTCCCACCATGTACAGCACACTTCTCGGGCACAGCAATGATCTCTAAGTGTCTTCTTCCAAACCTCACTCCTTGGTGAAACGACGGATGGATTCTGAGCAGGCTTCACTGTACATGAAAACTCTGACGAGACTCAAGCTGATTACAAAGCCCAGGTGAGAGGTAAACAGTATTCCTGCTTCTGCTTATGGGTCCCTTGCTTTCTGCTAAGAACCAGGGTGTGGGAGGGCAGTCAACGCAGGCTCAAGACTTCCTGTAATCAGCAGCCCTGCTGGTGAGCTCCAGTAACCAGACGACAGAGTGGAACTGCAGAGTATTACAAACACTAATGTGTAAGGGTCTGCTACTGGAAAAATGCCAACTAGCAACTCAGCTCTCTCAAATCCTTTTTGGGAAATAGGCTAGGGCATGACCTTCACTATATTTTTCCTAAAATAAAAAAAGTGATTAAAACCTGTGGTCTATTCAAATACCCTTTCTATAATGTGAAGCTGTTCACAACAAAGGCATTTCTAGTAGAAAGCGTGTGAAATAGATGGGTAGAGATTTGGTCCATTCTGCCATACGCCTCTGTTTACAGAGAAATAACTTCAGTACCATGAAATAAAAACCACTGCAACACAAACTCAGATCCACATAAATTCAAATAACCTTCTTTAAAAACGATGGATACATATGATGAAAGTACAGAGCACAGGGACCAGGCTGGAAAGATGCACTGCCGAGGGGATGGGAGCCAGAGCATGCAGACACTGAGGTCCAGCAAATGCTTTCGGCCAGGACCACGGGCCTGAAAATACTAATACTGCTAATAGAGCAATTTAAAAAAATCATGGTAACGCTGGGGACTTAGCTCAGTGGTTCTGTCGCCTGCCCCGCAAGCACAAGGACCTGAGTTTGATTCCCGGTACCAAAAAAAAAGATTAAAAAATCATGGTAATGGCTCAGGAAGACTAAAAAGTTATTTTATTTTTTATTTCAAAAGAATGTGACACTGACTTTGGCTGTCAGTGGCACTAAGTGTGTGGATGGTACTTTATGTGCACAAATTAAACATAAGTTAAGCTGTGTCACTCAAGCCCTATTTCCATTAAAAAAATTGATCAGCACATGCTGAGAACATGATTCTAGGAAGAAAAGAACCTTATAAAATACTAAAGATAATGCCCACCGACATCTACAGCGGTGGACAAGCTGAGCAATCCAGGCCGCCAGCACAGCTAGCCCTGGGCTGCAGTCTGTCTCAGCCACTCAGCTCTGGGCAGGAGCACAGCCCACAGCAGGGGGGATGAAGGGGCATGGCTCTGTGCTAGTTCTGTTTATAAAAACCTGGCAATGGGCCTGTGGTCACTGCTTGCTCACACCTAGTCTAGAATGTTAGGAATACGGACTTTTCTAAAGATTCTATGAGCTTGAAAAAGAGGTAGCCTTTACACATGTCAATTCTTCAGGTGTGACACAGTGATAATTCACATCTTTCTTCTGATAAAAGAAAAAAAACCTCTGGATTTTAAGAAAAATAACGTATGTGACCCAGAGACAAGATGACAAAATCTGAACTATTTGGAACCCTAACAAGGATCTTAGACCTGCAAGATTTCCAGCACCTCATAAGCTCAGAAGGACAGTTAGGTTCACAGGTCAATGCATAAAGTATTAACCAGCATTTAACTCCACATGCTTCAAACTACCCTCGGAAAGTCTCTCTGCAAGCTCAAAGAACAGCACTGTGCACGGGCTTCTTTTGCCCATGGGACCACAGTAGGCCTGGCAGGACAGAAAGGAAGGCCTGTGGATATCTGCTGTCCCGCTGTGATCACACCTCTTGGAGGATGGATGGGAGAGCCTTGTGCAGCTCCCTCGGACTTGTCACACAAGGAGAACAAACACCATTCCAGCTAACAGAGAAAGTCATCTCTGATGTGCAGTCTCAGTGGCTGTGATCTGGTTTGCAATGCCACACATCTGAGTGCATTTCCAAACTCAGAGTTCTCCTCCTCCTCCACACAGTGTCTGCATGTGAGTGAGGGTCCCCAATGTCTCAGCCTCACATCCTATCGCTGTCTGTAACTGACAACTGATCAGTATGTGGGGCTGGGATGATGGTGCTCCCAGGCCTTATTTATGGAGGTGGCCAAGGGCACTGCCTCCTATACTACATGAGCTTAGGTTTCCTTGGTGGCACTACTTTTTATATTCAAAGTTCCAGAGATGATCCAGGAAAGCACTCATTTAATATTTTTAATTTTATATTAAAACTTTTATGTAGCCGGGTGTGGTGGCACAGGCCTATAATCCCAGCGCACAGGGAGGCTGAGGCAGGAGGATCACAAATTCAAGCCCAGTTTGGGCAACTTGGTGACTCGGCAAGACCTTATCTCAAAAATAAAAACAGGTGGCTCATGTCTGTAATCCCGGCACCTGGGAGGCTAAGGCAGAAGGACTGCTGCAAATTCAAGGCTGGCCTGGGCTACATAATGAGTTCAAGTCCAGCTTGAATTACCAAGCAAAATCCTGTTTCAAAACAGCAAAAAACCAAACCAAACCAAATCAAAACCAAAACAAACAGTAACAAGCCCCCAAAACACAAAAACAGACAAAACAGCAGCAGTAGCAGCAGCAACAACAAAAAAAAGGCTAGAGGGCTGGGGATTTAGCTCAGTGGTTCCACCGCCTGCCTCCCAAGCACAAGGTCCCAAGTTCAATCCCCAGTACCAAAAAAACAAAAAACCAAAAAAAACCAAGGCTAGGGAATTCAGCTCAGCCTAAAGGCCCCACATTCGATCCCTAGTAGTGGGAAAAAAGAAGTCTTGTGCTTCTTTCTGCTCAGCATTAACCAACTCTCTGTGTGTCTTCCCAACACTTGCCATCCCTTCAGCTGTGGAGGGATATGCAGAAGCAAGTTGCATGTGGAAAGATAATGCTAACCTGCTCTAGTCAATGCCTGTCCTATCAATGCCCCAGAATGAACATTGGAGGATGCTGACAAGTATGTCATCACCCCAGGAACAAAGAATCCGGTGTGTACCTCACTGTCCCCTGCACCAAAGGAGGACACATGAAAAGGCACTGTGGGTCCAGTGCAGGTAACCAAAGATGGAGTTCACTTTCCACCTGTAACTGTATCTTCTGGAATCCAGAAGGGGCAAGGCCATTGCCACCTGCGCCCACCCATGAGCCAGGTGGTCTCGCCTCTCACCTCTCTGTTTCGAAGGTTCTTCCTCCTCCGTGGGCTCTGATGGGTCATAGTAGTCACTGCCATAAGTGAACCCTACAGCGCTGTAGTTCCCATCCTCCGCCAGGGCTTCACTCAATCGCTTGTACTCTTCCTCTTGAATAAAAATGAGAATTTTATTAACAAAAATGAAGTTTACTCAGAAAAATTTTACATCTCTAAAGTTGTAGCTATCAGTCAGTAAAGCATACAACACAGTCTTCAATCTCTTTTTGAGGTACAAATGTTTCTAAACACACACACTTTATAGTTATCAATATGCACTTTTGCCAGTACATGTTTACCACAGACAGCAGAATACACATCTTTTGTGGAAAATTTCTTCCTGCCAAGAAAACTTTGGGATTAAGAACTGTATTAAAGATTGTTAAGGCAAAGACAAGAACATCAATTTTAATTCATACGATACTGTTAAGGAAGAACAGTTAAAGAGTTTGGTTTTTGTTTTTTCAAATCCCAGTCTGCCCTCAAAAGCTGGGAAAATTCTTTGTGGCTCTATATATAAACTATCCTGAGGTCCTCTCAGAACGCAAAGACTCCTGTTTTTCCAATCCACTGGGTACTGTCAAGATAATATCAGAAAGAGTGAGTATAAAAAAATGAATGGGAGTAAATTTTTAAATACTTAAAATTGTAAAAAGTTGTGGCTAAAGTAAGTCTTTCTTGAGCAGTACCTTGCCTTGCCTCCTCCTCAAGCAAGTCCGTATGCAAGGCTAAATACCTCTCTTCATCACACAGCGCCTCTACTCGCGCCTCCTCTTCCGACAGCTGGTAGTCTCTGTTCCAAGTGGCATACTCGGCATCATACGCAGAGAGGTCATGCAGGTGACCGCGCCCATCGTATCTGTAATGCGAACACGCTGGTCAGCAGACAGAAGTCACCGACTCGGCTGGTTGCTTGTGACACTCTAGGTACATACTTACCAATTAAAATATCGAAATAAAAGTTGTTAAAACATGTCAAACTCTTCCCAGATTTATAGTTAACGTGGCTAGTCACATCTCACCTACTTTTAAACTCATGTTATCTTAACAAAGTCTGAACTCCGCTCTATAGCACATTAAGACTAATAACTAAGGCGGACAGTCCTCTCATCATAAATAGCATTTGCCTTACTAGCAGCTCTTACCGTGTACGGTTGGGTCAACCATTCAATGCCACTTGCAAAAAAAACAAAAAACAAAAAACAAACTTTTTTCTGAAAAGTTAAATATAATAGCTTACATTCACACAAACCAAATACATAAATACCTATCCGTAAGAACCAAACGGTCGAAATTTCCTCGCTTCTTTCTGCTAGTCCCGAACGCTCAGGAGAGATCTTCATCAAAGACACTTGCGTCCATTGGAGGTAAAATCTTGGCTAGGCTCGCCCCCTAGCCACTTGGCTGAGGAAAGAAGTGCTGGGTTATGTGGTAGAGAGACACACATACATAGGAACAGTGACATATACATGCAGTTTAAGGAGGTTCACTGGAAAAGGACAAAACCATTAGAGGATGCAGTACCAGTACTTCCTTCTAAACTTTATACCTCAGGAAACAAAATAAGGGAAGACAGATCCATGTTTTTCCTGCATGGGCCAGTAAGTACCAAATAGAAAATAACAACACTTTCTGCTATGTTTTTTTGTTTTGTTTTTAACCGGGGATCGAACTCAGGTCCTTGCGCTTGCGCAGCAGGCGGCGAAACCACTGAGCTAAATCCCCGGCTTCTGCTATGTTTTAACATGAGAGGGTCAAGGATGATGTTGTCAACATATAACTATCATATAATGAGTTAGTAAATTAAAAAAAAAAACTCAGATTTTGAGTTGCAAAAACAAATGTAAAGTGACAAAAGTCTGCTTAACTTATCAGTGCTGACTTTTGAAATAGGAACCAAATTAACAGAAAAAACAGGCATTCATAGAAAAAAAAAGGCCAAAGATTCCAAGGAACCCAAGTACTGAATTTTATTAAATTTAAAAATTAGTTTTACTTTGATGTAAACCTCCTTAACTTACAAATGTAGATTATTATTTAAAAATATTACACGTGTACATGTGTAGCGTTTGCTCCCCACCGGTTTTGGGAGACCTGACTCAAATCATGTACAGAATGATATGCAGACTGTATCAAGACCAGAGCTTTAATGATACATGTGACAAGACACACTTTGGAAAGCAAGCCTGTAACAGGCAACATCATTAGCAGTAAACCATGGAGGTTCAAGGCTCAGTGTTTGAGCAGAGCTGGAGCCATCGGGTCCAGAGCTGATCTGATCAGTTCCCCTCCCTCCAGGAGTCCTTGCTTCCTAGATCCACCTTCAGGTGGAAACATCAGGGATGGCAAAGGCCTATTTGGCCATTAATGTGTCCATTCTGGCCAGCTCAGAGGTCATCCCTACAGTCATGTTCCAGGGCTTTGCAGAATCCAGTTTTAATTGTCTCAAACGACGGGCTTCCTTCCCTTGGAAGACTATTCCACAGCTTAATGGCTGGTCACTGTTAGCCTTTCAGTCCGGGCCCCAGAAGTAGTGTTGCCCAACTGGCAAAAAGTGTCAAACCCCTTAGGATAGGAGAAGGAAGAAAGGGGACTGAAAAAGTGAGAGAGGCGGGAGCAAACAACCTACATCACGTAACGTCATCCTTTTCAAATCAAGCACCTTTAGGAATCCCCATCCCGGGCCCCTCCGCCCTAACCCAAGATCGCTGAATCCCCTGGAGAATCACCTAAAACGGGCGTGATTTGAGAAGTGACAACACGTCGGGAGCCCAGCTCCACCCTTCGGTTTTAGGAGACAGTGAAACCAGCCCTAAGATCGCGACCCCCGGAGTAGATCAGGATTCGCAGGGGGCAACCCGCTTCCAGCTGACTTCGCCCCGACCTTCCGCCAGCCAGAGATCGACCGCGCGAGGGGCGTAGGCGCCGGGGCAAGAAAGGTTCAGGCCGACTCCGGGTCCCAAAGAGGTTTCAGGAGCAAAGCGCCCTGGCTCCCGACCCGGTGAGTCGCTCCCGTAGAGCCTCAGGGCGGGCTTCACCGTCCCCTCCCCGAACGCGCCCCGCGGCTCCGCAAGACCTCGGTCCGGTCCCGGCCACCGAGTCAACATCAGGCGAAATCAAGCGGGCGAGGGAGGGGAGAGGCGGCGGGCGGGGGAGGAACCGACCTGTCGATGAGGATCTTGGGGTCCCCCATCCAAGGGATGAGATGCTGTCCCTGCTCCTGGGCCAGGGCCCGCTCGTCGTCCCGAAACAGTTTGCAGGCATAGCCGAAGACCAGCAGCTCCACTCGGCTGCCGCCACCCCCTGCGCCGCCGGACCCGGCCTCCTCCTTCGCGCCGCCTTTCCTCTCCGGCTTGGCGCGGCCACCTCCCGCGCCGTACATGACAGCGTCCACGGCGTCCGGGCCAGTCCTCTGCTGCGCCGCGTGACGTCCCCTTTGCCTCGCCTGGCCTACCCGCTTAGTCAAAGACGTCGCATCCCAGGCTCAACTTCAACATCTCCGCCATGGCGGACCACAAAATGGGGGAAGAGCAACTTCCGCTGGGAGGGAGGCACTTCCGGTGAGGGCAGCGGCAGATTCGCCAAGAATTTGAGCCGTTGGAGCGGATAGAAAATAAATGGGCCTTACTTTTCTCATTCAGACTCTCCACTACAATCTACAATAGAGTTGATGTTTGAAGGACATGGTAAATTTTTTATTTGCGTCTTCTCGGGAGGATTGTGACGAAAGCGCGGTGCTGGACCGCGCGCCGGCTCCTCGGTGGTGGGTGGGTCCTGGCGGTTCTTGCTGTGGCAGTGGGCCTCTGGCCAGAGCGTATTGGGTCGCTGGATGGTTGCTGGGCTCGGCTGCAGGCTGCCGGGGTGTTCTATTGTCAGGTTCAGCAAATCTGCTGTGTAAATAATCTCACGTTTCTTTATCTTTGACATCATAATTCCACCTCATTGTCCCTGCAGATAGATTATCAAACGTTGCTAAAAAATTAGGCAGGTGTTCCTTTTTTTTTTTTTTTTTGGTACCGGGGATCGAACTCGGGACCTTGCGCTAGCGAGGCAGGCGGCGGCACCATTGAGCTAAATACTCGGCCCCTTGTTGATGCTTTTTATGTAAAAACTGCACATTTTTAATGTGTCCAGTTTGATGGATTTGGATGTATGTATACAGCCTTGCATCACCATCAAGGTGATACGCATATCCATCATCTCCCAAGCCTCCTTGTAACCCTTTTTTATAATAAGGACACTTCCTGTGAGGGTGACCCTCTTAGCAAATTTTCAAGCACGCAGTACGGCGTGGTTAGCAGTAGGTGTGCTGAAGCGCTGATCCGTGAAATTTACCCGCTGGGAAAAACGTCTTCACAGTATTGTTACCAGTGTCTGAAACTACAGAGTCAGCTTTCAGTGGGCGATGGATTAGGTGAGTCATGGAGAGGCCTGACAAGAGAACCCTAAAGAGCACTTAGAACAACGGAGATCTCCGTGTGCCTCCCCGGACCGGGCTCCAGGACAGGAAGGTGTAGAGCACAAGGTACGGGCGAGGCATTGGCTGCTGCGTCTACTTGGCACAGAGCAGAGGGCACCGCTTTGGGTGACTGGGCAACCCTGAGGAGATGCACAGAATTTGGCCATAACTGTGCACCACGAGGAGACGCCCCAGTGAGGGGACCGGGCCCTTCTGCAGGGGCGTCTTCCCGCCCAGGGCCCCGCACTGCACAGAGCTCCCCCTGCCACTGCAGGGCCAGCCAGGGAGGGGACAGCGTCCCTCTGAGAGGCCAAGGCCGAGCCACACACGGCAGGGACACAGGGACACTGCTGCCGACGGGCATCTGGGTGCCCCACCGGCCCTGTGGTCAGTTTCCCCCCTGGGCACCCTGGAGTCCCCTGGTTCGTGGTTGCCTTTTTGGATCTCAATGTCACACATATCATCGGAGTAACTTGGCCTTTCTCTGGTCCTTGTCCCTGCAGCCACTCTCGGTGGCTCAGCCACTGGCACCGACCACAGCACAGTTGGGAAGGAGGGGGCCACAGTGCGGGCCAGCCAGGTGCTCAGCACACCAGGCAGGGGTGGCTGCCCAGGCAGCTGCCCTCCCCAGGCCGAGGAGCAGGTCGGATGAGGCAGTGACATGAGCTCACTGGGATAAAAACTCCCCTTCAGAGCACGGAGGGCACAGGGCACCGCGACCCGCTCTGCGTGTCCCCAGCCACGGCCCCACGGGGTGGCACCCTGGAGCCCTGACCTGCTGGGTGACCCTGAGCCTCCGCCAGTGCAGCCAGGCTGAGTCGCCAGCTGCGCCCAGGGGCCCTGCAGCCCCTTTCCCAGCCGCACAGACGCCCTCCTGGGAGCACCCCGGACCACTCACTATTGGTCTGGATTTATGTCTAAGGAGCCGGGGAGCTGTGCGGGCAGGGAAGTTGCTGAGAGCTCTGAAGGCCATCGCCCTCCACCCTGCCTGGGAGGCCTGATTACAGCTCCCAGGACCAGAGCGAATCAGACCCGGGCCACTGCTGGGGCTCAGGATCAGAGCCAGGTGAGAGGGAAGAGCCTGGGGTCACTGCCTGGGAAGGAGCCGCTCAGAGCCAGGGGCCACCTCGGCACACTGCCCTGGTCAGTGGCGGTTCTCAGTCCTGGAGGCCTGGCGAACCCCGAGGAGCTGGGAACGTGCTGGTCCCTGAATGCCACCCCTGGATCGCAGCGGGACGGACCCCCACAGGCTCCCAGGGAACAAGAGTGGGTGACACCGCGACAGGACTTCCCGTTGCCCTCCTGGAGGCAGCTGCGTCTCCTCCCTGTGCCCAGACACAGCCCTCCCCACGCTGGGCTGGCGAGCGACGCCCGCCCTCCAGGCTCGGGCTGGGGCGATCCTCCTGCAGATCCTGACCAGAGAGCTCGAGCGGCACCTTGGAGTCTAGAATGCATTTGCGGCCGGCCGTTCAGGGAGCAGAGACGGGCGGCTCCACCACAGCAGCTCAGCTGCCCGATCCATGGCTGTGTGCAGAGGCCACCTCCGCGGACCCTTGGGCCTGCCAGAGACCGCCTGAGGGTGCAGCCAGCCCATACCGTAAAGGGCAGATCACTGTCTTGGTCTCGTACGGAAGATAGTAGCGAAGGTAGGAGAGACTTTGTCGCCCTGGGGTGGGCGAAGCTGAAAGTTCTACCCAGAGGAGAACTTGATACATTTCATCCGCGTTAAAGTCTTTGGCTGTGCGAGATGCAGCATCCAGAGAATGATGATAGGAGCAGCCACTGCCCGGCAGAGGAAATCTGCAGCTCACACGTCGGGTACTGAACTCGCGTCCAGAACGAACACAGAGCCAGAGCTGTCAGTAGCAGCAACCTAGAGCTCAGTGCTCTGACGCTGACAAAAGGTTCACGCAGAATTTCACCAAAGAAAATGCGACAGTGCAGACTCACAGAATGAGTGCTCAGCACCAGGGATTGTTAGGAAGAGGCTGGGGAGCCACAGAGGTTACGACAGGCCGCTAAGTTACACAGGAATTGATACACAGTCAGAGAGGGACTGGGCTCTCAAGGACGTCAGTGAAAATAGAGACACAGCTGCAGGCAAAGCCTCAACATGCAGATGCAGAGGCCAGGCCTGCGGGCCTCCCCGGGGGAGAACAGTAACTGGGATGGCTCTGTGATCAGCACCGTCTGCCCCACGAGGTCCAGATGGTCATCTGTCGCCCAGGTGGGTGAACAGAGCAACCCGCCCATCCCTTCCCCAGAGTGCCACGTGCCCGCTTCCCTGTCGTGCTGGTCTCAGCCAGGCAGCTAAGGCTGATTGCGGTTTGCCCCACGTTGACCCACGTTGTCACTGCTCTGGAAGTCACCCTGACAGAGGAGGCCGCAGCCACTCCACTTGGGGACCCTGCTGTCTCTCAGCAGCTCTCACCCTTTGAACTTTCCTCCTCTGCTGTCCTCTGTGATTCATTCTTGGATTCCAGAGGACCTGCACTTGGCGCACCGCTCAGGAGGGAGGTTATTCATGTCCCCTGTCAAGACGGCAGCGCTCTCTGCAAGGACAGGGAATTCCTAGAGCAGTGTTTAAGACTGTTTAACGAGCGCCTCTTTATTGATTTAACAACCCGGGGGTTTTATCAGCCAAGAAAAAAAAGTGCCGAATGATCCCGGGTTAATTAGCTCCGGAGGCTTAACCAGGCTTCTCGAGACTTTCCTCTTATTTCGTACGTATTTTCATACATGCAAAGAGCACAGTGTGGCCGAATGCACCCCGCTGCCCTCCCTCACACCTCCCTCCGCCCCCTCCCTTTATTTCCTTCCTGTTGCCTGACTGTCATCTCCCTTCTGTTTCCAGGTCATCTTTCTGTTCTTCTTAGATTCCACACATGAGGAAAAACGTGGTGCTGGGCTTTCCAAACCTGGCTCATTGTTCATAACACGATGATCTCCAGTTCCACCGGTTTTGCTACAAATGACAGGGCTACTCTTCTTTAGGGCTGCATAATACTCCATTGTGCATGAATACCACATTTTCTTTATCCACTCATCCATTGACAGGTGTCTCGGCTGCTCCATGTCTCGGGTGCTGTGAGGTGGGATGCAGTAAGCACAGGGCTGCAGGCGTCCCCTTAACTCCCTCAGGAATGTGCAGAGCACTGGTGTAGCTGGACCAAACGGTGGCTGTTTTCAGTTTTGAGGAGCATGGCACTGATTTCCATAGGGGCTGCACTGACTTTCATTCCCATCAGCAGGTGGCAGGGCGCCTCCCGCATCCCCTCCTCTCTAGCATGTGTTCTTTTCTGTGTTCCTGGTGATGCCATTCTGACTGGGATGAGCTGGAATCTCACGTAGATGTGGTTGGCATGGAGACGTTGAGCCTTTTCCTATTCTTATTAGGGTTGTGTGCTTCTTAGGGGGTCTATTCCATCCATTTGCACATTTATCGACTAGGCTGCTTTTTGCTGTGAAGTCTGTTGACTTCTTCACACTGTAGATACCAATCCTCTGTCTGAGGAGTAGCTGGCAAGCATCCTCTGCCTGAAATACACACACGGGTCCCATGATGCACAGCCAGTGGAGCCTGAGGTCGTTTTCTGCGACTGGGCCGTCCCATCTGGGGGAGGAGAGACAGCGTCGCCCGAGGTGTGTGGTTTACATCCTGTCTACTCTGCAGTCTCCTTTTGGTTGCTGCCCCTGCAGAAGACCCTGGTTCACGAAGACTGGGTGTTGCACATGGAGGCTCTCGGTGCTGCTGGGCAATCTCAGGATTCTACGCCTTGACTTCGACCCAGAAGTGTGGAGAGGTCAAGTTCTCTCAAACACGCTTTTTAAGGTCAGTCATCTGCAGTCCAAGCAGTCGATCCTCTCCTGGCACCAACA